AAGGCCATTAGAATTAGGGAATTTTAAAAGTTTAAGAAATGATCTAATCATGAAAAAAATTAACTGACTAAACTTATCAGAGAGACCAATAGAGACAGCTGTGTGTCTTAACCAATAGAAACAAATTTTTGAAAATATCTACATTGTGCCCTATTTTAACATTAAAAATAAAGGGTTCTTTTCAAGCCGCTTTTTACATAATAATTCACTAGATTTTCATATATATCCATACAGTACAATAAAATTATAAAATTGTACGTAAATGTACAGCAACGTCATTGTTTTATAATTTTTTTTTTCTATAAGAGTTTTAAAAAGTGAACTATCGGTACCGAAACTAAAGTTTCCATTTTCATATGAATATAAAAGGAGCAAGTAGAGATCAAAAAAGTATCCTACCTAATGAAAAAAATTAGAATACATAATCTGCCTGATTTTTTTATTAAGAAAACCAATATAAGATATTCTTTTTACTTAGTTCCACATAATAATACACTAAGTGAAACCTGTTAGTGAAGTTAAACCGGGAACCTCGATTTTGGCGAAAATTACATTTGTTTTCTAGCAGACCATCTTCGAATTATACTTAAATAGTCAAGACCCTATTGGAGTGTTGTTGTTTGTTAATTAATTAGCGGCGTTCATGTAGAGAAGTTTATTCGACTATGTCGACTCTCTAACGTTCGCTTGTTTGAAAGCTATCCTCATTAATTGGCCATAAAAGTTATACAAATTATTTTTAACTCTGCGTGTTACACATTTCCTAAAGATTGATATCCTAACAAACTATAAGGATTTGTCCCAATACATAGCACTATTCCGTTTTCCTTAAAATTTCTGAAGACCCTTTATACAAAATTGTAGTTTTTATGTAGATTTGAAGAAATTCTCTGCCATTTTCTTTTGAAAAAACGTTACTAACACTACATCTCTTGTAAAAAATTTTAGACGGGCTCTTAGTCTCATCTGACCCTGAGATAATTGTTCCTCTTTTGAGTACACCCTCAGGGTGCTTATCTTCCTTAGGTTAACACAGGGAGTCACACCCCGGGGTACCCTATTGATCTTTGTTCCCTTCGTTTTCCTTTATCGTTTCCTTCATTTTCCTTTAGTTCTACTTTCTCCTTTTTCTTTCCCTTTGTCGTGGTTTTTCGTCTATGCTCGATTACTACCCAGTTGTATCGGACCCTGATAGGAAGAGACCACCACCGTGTTTGCGTGCTCGTTGACTCCTGTGTCAGAAGAAGGGGACCTCGGCAGTTAATGGGCATCCTGGTACTCCAACACACTGCTCTGGCCCGTGCTTCAGGTAAACCGGAGGTACATATTGTCCTGTATTCATCAATCGGCTAGTTACAAATGTCATCCGTTGGATAGGGTCAAGTTTGGGATGACATACTGGGCACCTCGTTAGGGGTGGAGGCTGCTTCAGGGGTGACTCACGGACGTATTGCTATTAGTAAGCATCGATGTTCAAGTAACAGATTGGACTCAGTACCTATCAGTTATTTGAACCCCCTTAGTAGGACTCTGTGGTGGGTGATGCCGCTGGTAGTTGAAATGGTTAATATTTTCAATGGCTAGACGTTCAGTTCCGCACATCAGTGCAAAAAACAGTGAAACAAACTCCTCAACGTTTGATTACGCTCGTTCCTACGTTTTTACGCTGACGAACCCAAAAGTACCTAACACTTCATTTACCAAAATCTCGCCAATTTTGATTCACAAGGTTCTTCTCTATCTCTGTACTGGGAGAAGTAGCCTCTGCGAACGAGTTACTTTTAGGTGACTTTATAGTTGAGGTCTCCAAAAAACATGCGACTATGCTATATAATTGTACTAACATATACTCCTTCTATGTTACATTGTCACCCTATAAGACTCTTAACTCCTCTCGAGGTGTCACAACATTATCTGATTTCCTTGAAGATGCAGAGGAAGTAATTGTGGAGAATTTAACCAACATATTGCTTCTGTCTGTACGATCAAGATTTTAAAGGGATGGAAAACTCATTCCCATGAAATACCTGATCCTTACTTTTGACACACCGAAACTACTGTCTTCGGTGAAGCTTGCCTGGCATAACTGCACTGTGCGACCATATGTGCCAAACCCATTAAGATGCTTACAGTCCCATAGGTTTGGACACTCTAAAGCACCTAGTCGTAGCAAGCCTATTTGTTCTCGATGCTCTGGTTCTGATCATAGGGACACTACCTGTGAGTTGCCGCCCTTTTGCATTAACTGCAAGGGTGCTCACGCAGCATACTCCAGGAGTTGTCCAATATGGTCCTATGAAAAAGAGGTATAAGGTGTCAAAGTATTGCAAAACGTGACCTTCAATGAAGCCCGCTGAATAGTCACCATCCGTACTCCCCGTCCGACTGTGTCCTATTCCGCTGGCTGCCAAGACTTCATTTTCATCTGTCAGTACGCAAACGGACCTTCCACCTTGTCTTGTACCTCTCATTGTCAGTTTAAAACTACTGTCCAAACACCGTAATTTAACTTTAATACACCATCAACATCAAACAGAAAAACATCTCCTCCTCCTAAAAATACTTCAAAAACAGAAAACTCAGAAAAAAACACACCTTTCCCCAAGCAGCTTGCATCAACAAAAATACTCCAAAGTAAAAAACCTGGCATATCTCGGAAGAAAAAAGACCCAATTTACGTCAATCAATCCACTTCTGCTGCTCAGAAGAAAATGGATTTTGACGTAGAATTGTCTCTTCATCCTTCCGATGCTAAATTCTTACTGGACTGACCTAAAACATTTGAGGTTAAAATATAATTATATACTTCCATTTCCTAATATCTATAAATTTTATTTCATGGAACTGCCGTAGCCTAACGAATAAACTTTCTGATATTAACGATATCACTTCTAAATATCAACCTGCATGTTTTGCACTCCAGGAAACTCATTTAACGCCATCTCATACTTTTAAATTGCGCAACAACTCTTGCATCTGCCATGATTTCGATAATGGAAATCATCCTCATGGCGGCTTACCTACAAAGCATTACCATCCACTCATCATCCATCATCAACGTCATTACAAACTTGCGTTGTCCAGATTCATATTAATATTCTCCTCACAATAAATTTTTTACACACAATACAAATGCAGCTGTTGATCGTGTTACGTCTGTACTTCTACAAGCTGCCGAAGATAGTATACCCAAGTCGTCAAGTTCGCTTCCTTGCGATAGCAAACCGTGGTGAAATGCGGAATGCGCAGCAGCTTATAAAGAGCAGAGACGCTTGTGGAACGTCTTCTGCCGCTACCCTAACACCCTAACACTGCCAACTTTTTAGCTTTTAATCTGGCTAAAGCAATGGCACGTAAGGTCAAGCGCAATAGTCAGAGATATGTTTGGTCCCGCTACGTCTCGTCTATAACATCTTCGACATCTCCCAAACAAGTCTGTTCGAGAGTCTAGAGAGCTAACGGCATATACCGCGAATTTCACCTTCCCGTACTCGAGAAAAGCGGTACCAATTAATCCTCTTCTGCTGACGTCTGTAATATGCTTGGTGAGACATTTGCTACTATCTCTAGTCCAGAGAGTTACATCTCAGCATTTCAACACCACAAGCTGACCGTCGAACCGAATAACATCAACTTTGATACATGCCGTCTCTTCCGCTATAACAGCAATTTTAATTTTGTAGAATTACAGCGAGCACTTTATCGATCTCATAATACAAGCCCCGGTCCTGATGGTATCACGCATCATATGCTCCGCCACCTAAATCGGACGTCGTTGTCAAATGTCCTCGTTCTGTTCAATAGAACATAGGCGGAACAAACGTACCCATCTGGTTGGCATGAAGCAATCTCTGGCATGCGCGTTATTGAGCGTCAACTGCAGTTTGTGAATGAAATTGTGGAATGGTGTGAGCAAAATTGTCGTAGCCCTTCACCTGCTAAAAGCTCTTGCATACATTTTTGTTGGTTATGCAGAATGCATTTCGATCCAGTTATATCGATTCACAGTCTCACCATACCCGTTGCATCTGAATTAAAATTTTTAGGTGTCATATTTGATCACAAAATCACTTTCATTCCTCATATTTTACATCTAAAACGGTGTGAGAAGACCTTGAATGCATAACGCATTTTGTCGAATACCTCTTGGGATGCGGATCGTATCACCCTACTCAGACTGTACCAGGCGTTAATACTATCGCGCATAGAATACGCTTGTGCAGTCTATGGCGCAGCTACTGCATCTAACTTAAGGCGCTTAGATACAGCGCATCTTACGGCCTTACGTATATGTAGTCGAGCATTCCGCACTTCCCCAGTAGAAAGTTTGTATGTTATCTGTCACAAATCATGTCTAGACTTTCGACGCAGCTGTCTCTGGGCCTATTACTATCGCGTCATGTCCTGCAAATCTCATCCTCTAAAGCATAATGTTCTTTCATCAATCTTGTAGCGACTGTATGACGCTAGACCTACACACCTCCGTCCATTTCATGATCGCGTGCGTTCACTTATACAAACATTCAACATTTGCGAGTTATCAGTGCAATCAGTAGATCACCTTCTCATACCTACAAGGATTACCGCGCGATATAAGTCTTATTCCCCTTTTATGTAAATCTAATTTTGCATCCATCATTTATCAGCAACATTTCAATTCTCATCGTCACCAATATTTAGAGTATGTGACTGTATTTACTGACGGATAGAAATTGGCGGGAGATACGTAGGCTGTGGGGTCATCATCGCTGATGATGCCTAAGCTACAAAATCCCAGATATTTGTTCCGTCATCACTGCAGAAGCTGTTACTATCCTTTTGGCATTGCGGCTGATTTCTTCACGCTTTTCTCGGAAGTTTTACATATACTTTGATAGTATGAGCGTTTTGAAAAAGTTGGAAAATTTTTGCAACGATACTCATCCAATTTTATGCTTCATTAATCATTTGTTAATCACCTTTCACAAGAAAGGGTTTGACATATTTTGTTAGATACCGAGTCACGTCGATATATCAGGAAATGGTTTGACTGATTCTGCATCACGATCTGCCTCTTCTGCCTTAGCAAAATCCGTTCCTTTCTCAGACATTAAATTACATATTCGGCTGTTTATCGAATCCCTTTGGCAACAACATTTGGATCTTCAAATTCAAAATAAACTTTATAACATCATACCTAATTTGGATCCTTTACCCGAATTGCGTCTGTGTAATACAGATGTAACACTTAATCGTCTCAGAATCGTCCGCACTGGACATCTTCATTTCTTGTTTGGAGAATCTCCTCCACAATGCTACACTTGTAACGTTTTACTAACTGTTCATCACATTTTAATCATTTGTCCTTGCTTTTGCCAATATCTCCTAACATTCTTTTAATAGCACTATTTTATGTATAAAGGATTTGTTAGGGGAAATCCTTCATACCAACATTTTCGCAGTCCTTCGTGCTATAGGTATTTTATATTGTATATAACTGTTTTATCTGATTTTATTCACTCTTATTTCTTATCCAAGTAACGTTTTACTTTTTCTGTGCATTTTATGGAATTACACTGTTTATGAACTTTTAACTATACGTGTCTTGTGATTAACAATTTTATTAGTTCCATTTATTTTATGAAGATGAAATTGTAGTATGCATTTTACCATTTGATCTGATTTAACAAATTGTTTGGCACAGCATATCTTCCTTTGTATCTTGTGACATAAAATTTTACATTCAATCAATGAACCTCTTTTGAGTGCAGCCTTGCTACATCACATGTAAGCTACACTCATAATTTTCTTAAATTTTCATATTAAATATGAGTTGCCTCCTACTCTTTCATTAAAATTCTAGTATCTTTAAATTTCCCATAGAGTTAATACGTGTACTTAGTTTCACCCACTATTAGGGTTAAACCGGGTAGTTCGACTTTTTCTAGAAAAATACCATTTGTAAAAAAAGTAGTACATCTCAGTCTTTTTGAACATGATACATTGTATACAATTAAACAAAGGATATCTTGGCAAAATCAGAGTTTCTAGATAGAATAGTTTAGTCCCAACAGGTCTAAGAGACTTAATTACCCGGTATCACCCCATTTCCTCATGCATTTGCTGCAACGAAATCGGGAAGTAGTATACATATGTACGATAACATCATTGTTTTATTTTTTTTTCTTGTGGGGGGTGAAAAAAGAAGTATCAGTTTCCAAAATTCAACCAAGTATTAGAAAGACAAATAGAGACAGCAAAATATCAAAATTAACGAGACTGATTTGTTGAGAATGTCTGCAAGATATTTGTTTTCATAATTCGAAAGTAAAATGAAGCTTCTATTATCGTTGTTTTACACGATTATTCTATGCATATTATATTGTATTCATACTTAGTACAATTAAATCATGAAACATCATGTTCATGTCATTATTTTATATTTTTATCGGTGAGAGTTTTTACAAAAAAAAAACTAAGCAGGATAGAAAATAAAATTTCAATTCCAAATAGAAACATATTTCTTGTCTATGTATTTCAATCGCGTGTTTTCATCTGTCATACAGACAAAAAAAAACAGTGTTTTATTCTCCAATGGGAGTAGAAAAATGAGTTTCGAGCAGTTGGTAGTAGTTTTCTATAAATTTCCTCTTTTATTTTCCTTGAGTATTATTAAGTTCACGCAAGAGAAAATGGAAAATTGTGCTCCCTTCTGTGACTATGAATGCGGTTTTGAATAAAGGAGAAAATATGCCCACATCGCATATATAAGTTTGTTTTCTACATTCGACATTGAAATATGTCTTGTTTTGTGGACTTGTTTTTTCGGATTGAGATGTTCTTTCCATCTTGAATGCGACTCAAACATATCATTAGTCTCTTTTCTTTTGTACAAATGGGAAAGTTTCAAATTTTTGAATGAAAAGTTTTGAATTGATTGATATGGTCAAAGATCAAACATATTTTACTTTAAGGGTAATAAATATTGTTCTGAAAATATTTATCACTCATAAATAAATAAATGAATAAATAAAAATGTTTATGTTGAATTGTAGTATGAATTTTCAAAGAGACCTCAATTTAAGGGGCAGATAAATTCTTAGAAACAGAATTTTTGATGCTGAAAATGTTGAATGATTTAATAAAATGTGCTGTAATGCATCAACATTTTATTAAAACTGCAAAATGTTCTAAGAATTTTTAGTATCCTAAATTCCTTATAATAAAAGATTGCCATGCATCCACATATCATATATACTTATGTTCCTGAACCACTTTTCTTCCTTTAAATCTAACACGAATTCAGCTGATGACTTTTGACGTCTATTTTGAATTTAAAATTACATGTCTTAGTAATTGATAATAATGGCTGTATATCATACAAAAAAGTGATTTAAATATGTCTATGTAGTATATATAGAGGGGTGTGATGTCTTTTTCTACGTATAATTTAAACAGATAACTTTTAGGAAGCATTTTTTTAATAAAATGTTCCATTGTTTTAATTGTTTTAATTCCATTGTTTCAAAATTCATTTTTACCAGAGCATGTAACGGCACAAAAAATCTAATATACCGTAATTTTTACAGTAAAATCACTAAATCACTCTATTCAAAAAATGTAACTGTAGAAATTATAGTATATATTTGCGGTAAAAATGGGTTCTACGAATGATGCACCCAATGAGCCGTTATTTCAAGTCATATTATGATCCAAATTTTTTTTACATTTAGCTCTTGACGTGTGGTTAGATGGACAAATGGAGCAAATCAGTCTCCATTCCTTGTACAGTTTAGTATGAATTATTTCCCTGAAACTAAAAAATGCAAAAATCAAGAAATAATATTCTTTTTCTCAATGATTAAAAAAATAACCTATCACAAACAGTGGAAAACAGAAGATCTTATAGAGATTGACATTGATACAAAGAAAACGTAGTGCAGTTAAATTTGTAAATATTATAAAAAATCCAAAACTGTCTAATGAAACTTTATAATTTGATCCTGGAACAAAATAAAATCAAATTTTAAAATAGGATGGTAGTGTAAATGAGTAATTAAAACATCCCAGCAGGATACAGTACAGAAAATATTTTGCATCTGTACACATATTTACAAATATTTCTTTCGTTTGAAAAAATAGCCTAATTAACAATTAATAATTCGTTGCGTTGAGATAAGATCATGGCGTCGCGCAATAGGAATCATCGATATGTCTGGCAAATGGTATAGTTAGTTTCCTTTATTTATGTAGTTTAGTATCAAATATTTCCCTAAATTATTAAGTATAAAAGCAAGAAATAAAAAAAAACTTTCTTTTCTCACTGTTGCAAAAGACAACTTAGCACAAACAACAAGAACTAGAAGATCTGAAAGAGATTTCCCTAGACATAGAGAAAAGATAAATCATTTCAACATGTAAATATTCAAAAACAAAAACAACATTATATAAAGAGATTTTATGATTAGATCTAGAGCAAAATGAAATCAAGTTAAGAAAAAAAAACATGAAATGGTAGCATGAATATGTAATTAAAATATCACAGCAAATTTAAAATATAATTAAATCCTTTTTTTTCCAGATCTTATAAAATAACGAATTCTTGGTTAAGTTTAGAATGAAAGTACAATTAAAAGGCAGACAAGTAATGAAAATAGTTATTTGTTTTCTTCGTTACAGAGGATTATTGCACATAAAAATAAACAACGCTACGTTTTTGTACTTGTTCGAAAATTGCACATTAAAACTGACTTCTCAAGAAAAGATTTTTTGAGGACTTTTAAAAGAACAACAAGTTTGAATCAGTTAATTTAAAATTAAAATTATTTGCTCACTAAAACATTTAATACAATTCCTACAAAATAAGTAATTAATTATATTTTTCTCCTCAATAAACACCGCATTGAAACATTCCACACTGATGTCTGGCATTTTCTTTTTGGGTCAGGTTTGGTTTTAGAAATAAATAAATAATTTCAATTTCAAAAACAATAAGCTCAATTTGGAAAACTCCGTGTAATAGTCAAGCCCGGAATAATGGCCATGGTGGCTCAGAGGATAGAGTGCTAAGCTCCCGTTAAACTGTGGTTGAATCCCAGCAATAGCTGGTCAATACGAATTCCACCCCGACTCGCACTGACCGCAGCACTGGCGTAAAATGTCCTCAGTGGTAAACGGATCATGGATTAGAGGCCCGTTGCCGCCAAGCTAACCGTGGGAGGTTTTCATGGTTTTTCTCTCCATGTTAAGCAAATGCAGGCTAGTTCCATCAAAAAGTTCTCCATGAATGTAGTTTTCTCCCAAACTTGATCCCGGAGTCTCCTTGTCTTCTGGATTGGGCTACATAGTTCAACATCAGTAGTCGTAAACTCGAAATTGGGTCGGCTGTTAAACGATGGTTATAAAATAAAATAGCCAAGTATAATAGATGATATAACAGCCTTGGTACAATTAGATGAGCCATAATCTCAATTGTTTAAGTCTTTATCTCCCCTTTTTAAAATATTAGCATATCAAGAAACAACAAATTTTTACGCTCCATTTGAGAACCATTATAAACTATCATCTAAAACAATCACATTAACGTTATCTTAGATAAAATTTGCATTTTAAATTTAATAAATTCATATTAAAGATATTATAACTATTTTTAACGCGTGTTTTCTTGTAAACTATAATGTTTATTTTATGCAGTTTTTGCTAGCTGCACCGTTTGCAATGGAAGCTGATACACATTTTAAAGTAAGTGAAATAAAAAAGTTAACAGCCAGAATAACTTTAGATCTAAAGATCAAATTCTCAGTTACTAAATCACAGTTTTCTAATGTTTCGAATGCCTTACCCTAAATATGCTGATTAATTAGTGCAGACGGCATTTTAAGTTACAAAATCAGACATAGAAATTCATTTAATAAACATAGCTTGTGACAAAGTTTAATTTCAGACTTTCAAGAAATAGAAAAAAGTCGCAATCAGGAAAATATGGCCCCGATAGTTTTATTGTGGCACTTATTTGCAGTTTACACCTCTTAACATTAATTTTTTTGTGTATTTTACCATGCCTCAAAAACTTTTATAGAAATATTTTGCTGATAATTATAAAATTCATTTACTCAAAGATTATTCAATGCAAAAATAATTTTTCTTAACTATTTTATTAATAA